TTATGCCAATTGCTATTATTTTGTGGTCGCTTTTATTGCCAAACTGTGTAAAATGTGGCATTTCTTGCATACTTCTTCATACAACCTCTCGCTGCAGAATTTTAAATTTTCTTGTTGCTTAAAGTTTTTGCCAATCTACGGAAGTTTAAATTCGTAACACTTCATTTTCTTTTCTATTCCCCTTTTTTAATTCATTAAAATGCTAATTACTAATTAGACGCAGTCGAGTTTACTTTCAATTTCGACGGTATTCGCTTGAGTAGCCGCCATCTTTCATCTTTTCACATTTTCTCGCTGCTCTTTTAAATGCTGAAAAAAGCGCAAGCTCGAGTTACTTTTACCCTTTTTGGTGTTTTTTAGACTTTACTGAATAAAAATTAAAAGCTTCTTGCTTTTTAATTAGTAAAAAATTTTAGGGCGAAAGTAACACTTGCGTAGGCGATTATAAGCAAAGCGTCTATTTGTCTTGTGCCCCCCCTCCAATGACCAAATGTGTGCAAGTGTGAAATTTTTGCATCAAAAAGAAAATTTTTAAAAAAACTGTCTCGATAAATTAAGAACTAATACCAAATCGTCGAATTTCGTCTTACAAACTTTATTAGTTTAGGATAAAGAAATTATGTTACTTCTTGATATAAACCAAAGAATATATTTGCGCTTAAAATATCAACACTATGGGGCGATGATGGATGATTAGTTTGTTCTCAGTACAAAATAAAGACATCCACGAAAATTTCAAAATTAAAAATAAAATAAAATAGGCATCGCTTCCAGCGTTTGTAAAAATTAAATTTTTGATTTTAAATCACAAAAGTTCGACAGAAACTTGCCTTTGCCCAGTTATAACTCAGCGAGTTTAGGAATTAATCTCAATAGTTTCAACTCAAGTTTTTTTTTAATTAAAATTTGTTCAAACCCTCTAAAAATTTGTTAAAAATTTTCAAATTTTCGTGCATGTCTTTATTTTGTACGTAGCTCAAAATATTTAAAAGGCTGCCTGATATGAAATTCACATGTTGATATTTTTATGGACT